CTGCCTCTTTGTTATTAAAAAGAATAGGTTTATCTTCCCCCTTGTGCTCCAAATCCAAGGTTCATGTAAATCACAATTTATTTCTTAATGCTACGTCCACTTTCCTTACCTGGTCAATGCTAGGGGTCGACAGGACAAGAAGAAAGCTCTGTGGACCCAGGATGAGCCTTTTTGGGCGTTTCTGGGTTCCCTGGTGACTGTGTCATAGTGGTCTGCCTGGTGACTCAGTTTACATGGTGGTCGCGTAATATAACGGATGAGGGCCTGACATTTGAGGTCTGAGAAACCCCCTGGTCGATCTATGACCAATGCTGGGTTCTTTGACAAATTCATGTTTTGAGCCTCAATTGCAAGCGTAGCCCTGGAATGGGTGAGTGAATGAGGTACTCACAGGGTCTCAGCGGTGACACGCACACATGCACTCCAGGTGCATACGTACTTGCCCATCGTAAGTGTGGGCCCTGTCACCCCTTAGCATAAACCAGGGCACGTCAGCATATGCTTTCCTAGAAAGGGAATTATAGGTGACTCTAACGACACTTCCTTTAATGGCCAAGTTGGTGGCCCTAGTTTAACAACAGGCAAAGTACCAGCAGTGTGGCCTCAGGAGGTGTCACAGGTTGTTCTCCTTTCACAATGGACACTAATGACATTTATTACAGAATACCTCCTAAGGCCACAGAAAAAGCCGGCCATTCTCACCGGTTCTGCGAGGGTTCTGTGCCCATCTTGCTACTGTAAACAGGACGGGATGGCCTACGGACCCCACCCTTTTTTTCCCCCCCACTCCACTCAAGTATTTACTAGACCTAAACACGCTGGGAGCCAGTGGATTTCTTAGAATTCTAGACCTTTGAGGCTGGAAGGAGCCTTGAATACCATGCAGTGTCCTCTTCTCACTCAAAAGTGTGGGACGTGAGGTCAGCAGAGGTCAGGAGCTCAGCCCGGGAGCAGAGCTGGTGAGGGGCAGGGCTCAGACAGCAGGCACGACCCTCTTCCTGTATCACCAGGTGCCCCGTCCCCATAAGCTGGTTCACGCCCGTCTGACAGGGACAACAGGTGGGCACAGCGCCATTGGTGGCTGCCTTCCTCAGGATGCTGTCTGACCATGAATCCTTATGGCTGCTTTGTGGCCATTTAAGCATTTAAGGAGCAGATGTTTTGACCCTTTAAGGGAGTGGCGTGGCACAGTGGCAAGAATGCGGCCACGTGGCAGGGGCCTGGGTTTTTTGTTGATGACTTGAGTTCCCTAATTATAGAGATACCTTTTAAAGAAAACATGGACTAATTCCCTATCTTTGTTCTTCAGTTCTCCTGAAAGGGGCTGGGTAAGGCTTGCCGACGCCTGTGTCCCGGGGCAGGCCCAACGCTGGCCCCTGAAGGGATAGCTGTGGACACCGACAGCCCAGCCTCGTGGGTGACAATGCCCTTGAGTGCTGGCCCTAGTCTGAGGGTTCACATTACCCAGCCAGCATCGTGTATAACAGGATCCCCAAACTCCAGATGTCACACGCTGCGTCGTAGCCTTGCCGTTTCAGGACCTGGAGGGGGAAACGCAGATGACCGATAAGCATGTGGTGAAGAGAACTGGAGCTCACAGTATACTGTTCTGGTGGGACCATGAGCCTGGCAGGGTAGAGACAGGGGAGGTCATTTATGAAGGCCAAGCCAACTCTAACACACTGAATAGGGCTCCCCAGAGACCAGCACACACAGCGAACCATCGCTCGCTCTTACTGGATACTGGCAGATAGACTGAGAAGGAAGCATTTAATTTTAAGGCAGAAGAATTCGTCTTATTATGGTAAATTATACACAACATAAACTTTATCATCTTAACCATTTTTAAGTGCACAGTTCAATGCGAGGCACATTCACACTGCTGTGCAGGTGTCCCCACCGTCATCTCCAGAGCTCTTCATCCTCCCAAACTGAGACTCTGTCCCCATGAAGCGCTGTCCCCAGCCCCTGGCACCACCGTCTACATTTTGTCTCTGTGAATGTGACAGCTCCAGGAACCTCATACAAGAGGAATCACACGCATTCGTCCTTTTGTGACTCGCTTATCTCACTTCACATGATGTCCCAGGTTCATCCATGCTGTGGCGTGGGACAGGGCTCACTTCCTCTTTCAGGGCTGGCTAACGTTCCGCGCTGTGGAGGGACCACGTCTGGCCCACCATTCAGCCACTTCCACCTCTTGGCTGCTGTGAATAATGCAGCTGTGAGCCTGGTGGACAGTTGCTGGTTTGTGTCTCTGCTGTCAGCTCTTTGGCTGGCTCACATGGTAATTCCATGCTTAACTGTCTGAGGAATCGTTAAGGCAGGGCTTTTGCGTATTCCCAGCCTACAGGCTCCCACAGAGGGCAAGCCCCTGATACACTGCAGCTGGGTCACAACTAGGAAGCAGCTCGCTCAGGGGTTCTGTCGGGGGAAAGCGTTAAGTGTGGCGTCAGGGGGGGTTGTTCAAGGTCCCTGTCCTGTCTGTGTACCTTTGTGCCCCTGACACTGCGCTGTGCCTGCAGCCTGGGGGGGGGGGGTCAGCCAGTGTTCGTGAATGAACCGAGCCGTCACCACTCCAGCTTTGCCTGACGCTCCCTGGCTGCGAGGTCTTCAAAAGTCACGTCAACATGGGCAGCCTGTCTGGGTTTGTTTGCGTCTGTGAAATGCGGCTGATATTGGGTTGTCGGAAAAGTCATGACGCATTTTTGCAACGAAAAACATAGAAAAAATATGTCATGACTTTTCCGATAACCCAATAGTATCTACCCTGCCCACTTTATATGGTGTAAGAGGATGAACGTTAAAAAAAATGGTCAAAGTGTTTTGTACATGGCAAAGTTATATACCAATTTAACCTATTCCATAATCACTAAAATCAATACTATCAATATTAATATTGATCAAATAAAGCAAACGTAGAAGCTTATTGCCAGGTTATGTTTGAAGGGCCCACAGGTAAGAGGCTGGATAACGTCTGGATAACCTGACCGTGGCTCCCAGCCAACCCACCGCTGCATATCCACAGGTTTCTCCACCAGGCAACTAACCGCTACACCTTCCGTGCAGGCTGGGTGGGCGCTGTGCTTGCCTCTCAGACAGCTCACAGAACCACCACTAGGTGTCAGCATGCCTTCCTCTGGGGACTCGCTGTACAGCCCGCGGCACTCAGGCCAGGGCCTCTGTGATCCAGTTCCAGCAACACCGGGAGAGTCCACGTAGAGTCCAGTGTCCGTGTCCATCCCTGCCCCTCCCCTCCACCAGCAACACCAGCCTCTGTCTCCCAGTCCTGCCATCACAACATCTCAGGCTTGGGTGCTTTTCTAAAAAGCAAGAAACTGGATTTATCTTCATAAACATGCCCACGACTTCAGAGCCTCACAGGAGCGAGCCCCGGGGACGGACGCCACGCCTCTGCGGGGTTCTCAGCTCCTCAGAGATGAGGGCAGAGCGAGAGCCTGTGGGAGTTCTGTGAGCGCTCATCTGTAAGTCTCTGTGGAGCCCGGATGTGAAGTTTGGTAGCTTCTGTCGTGGAAGACAGTCTGGAGTGAGAATTGTAGCGCACGGTAGGTGCATGAACCTGCCGTCTCTCCCGGTGAGGGTGAAGGTGGGTTCTGACCACAGGTGACCCACAGCTCCCCCTTTCTGGGTGCACGAGAGCCTGGTGGCTTCACTTCTCACTGTAACTCCTACCAGATATGCAGATGTTATCCAAATGGACTATAGCACAATGACATTTTACATGAAAGCATCATGTAAAAAAAAAAAATATATATATATATATATATATAAACAGAGCCACTTTGAAATGGAGCAGGAGCTGCCTTCCCAGAGGAACTGCCCTGCACGCCTGATGCCTCAGACCTCCGGATGTTCAAACAGGGCGAGGTGACCTGTGGCCTGGGCCTCAGCAACACTGTGCCCCAAAGCGCTGTTTGCGAGGGGGACAAGAAAGCAGACGGTATAACGACCAGACTGATGACGACAGCACTGAAAACTAAAAACATTGTTTACCGTCAGCACTGGTTCAGGCAGAAGCCCAAATCAGCTATTTTGATTAATCTCAAATCAATGCTTATTGCATCTTACATTGAAAGCCTTTTATTTTTAGGTCAACAGTCACCATCAAACATTTTATAAAGAAGAAAATAAAATGTTAAAACAGCTGTGTGTGAGCAGGGTCCGGGGCCGATTCTCTTCGGGTTCATTTTTATTCTCTGACATCTGTGCTGAGCTACGCAGGGCCTGTCTCCCCCTGGCTCAGAGCCCTTCTTACCTCCGGGGCAACAAAGTTGGCGGTGTAGCAGGGTGTCATCAGCAGCCCGTTCTCGGCTCGCAGCTGCTTGGCAAACCCAAAGTCACAGATCCGGATGGATTCAGGGTTCCCAGACTCGTCCATATACAGGATATTACTCGGCTTCAGGTCTCGGTGAACGACCTGGAAAGGCAGGAGAAAGATGCCTACCTTGGAGGCCGAGGATGCAGCAGGAAAGGGAAGGGGGGTGTGCATGCTTATTTTGGGGACCTTTATTCTGAGCAGGTCCTGCAGCAGGCAGCAAGTCAGCCTGGATGCTATATTTAGAGGGGGCCTCCCTCCTTCTCTCTCTCTTTCTTCTCTCTCTCTTTCTCTCTTTCTTTCCCTGACACTCACATCTGAGGGGCCAGTCTAAACCCCTGTGACGGTGAATGACTATTTGAATTAATAAAATAAGCAGTTATGTAAGGTGAGGGAATGGCTTATTTGGGTCATTACAGAATGTTGTCGTGAGTGCAGGTAACGTGAATACAAAGACTTCTAAAGATAAATGTTTGCCTCAAGTCTGCCACAGCCCAGCACAATTAGGGGTGTGACGCAGTGAGTGACGCAGACAGGGACCTCTGCTGTGGGGCCTATGACGCAAGAACCCTGAAACTGCACTGAGCTGAGGCAGGTGCTGGTGCTCTGAGTTGGGGGATGGGGTCCACAAAAGCTGTGCTGACGGCCGGGCCAGTGACACCTCAAAGCACAGAGGTTACGTGGGGCACTCAGCAATTCCTCCCGAATGGGACAGAGGCGGGACTGCATACAGCTCGGACCCTGAGTGTCTCCACTGCCCTGGTAAAGCCTAGAGAGAGGACACAGCAGGGACATTAAAGGGACACATGGAGGCAGCCGGCTTGGTTTACAGAGGCCCTGGTGGCAGGAAAACGAGTGCGTTTCCGGTTCCGTGACCTCCTCTCATTAAAATCAAAGCTACTTTGCAAAAGCCAGCAGCAGGGGCTGCCTCTATAGTTAGAATCCTGGGAGAACCTGGAGATGCTTACTATCCCCAGACCGCTAGGTGACCCCACAACAGGGCCCATGGTGTGGTCCTCAAAGGATATCCTTCAGGATAAATGCAGCGATGACCGCATTTTCTAAGCTCTGACCACACGCATGACTGGCCCAGGAAGTCAGTCTGCCTGCTTCATGGAAGCACCGAGATGGGGCAGGTGAGGACGTGGCACTAGCCCCCCCGCCCCCTGCAAGGCCATATCCGGGGCTGAGCGTGTGGGGTCAGGTAGCAGTGTTCGGGTGGAATTAGCTCTGTCACTCACTCGCATGTGACCTGGGGCAGGAGGTCTGACCTGTCTGTGCTCTAGAATCGCCTTCTGTGACCTGGGTGTCGTCCAGGGTGTAGCAGGGCATAAACGAGTTGCTGGGAACAGCGCGCCTGGGCCACGGGGGTGGGAGTGGGGGCATGAGAAGCTCAGCTGTGCTGTCACTTTCGCCTACAGTACTCCTCCGCGCTGGTTAAGGAACTCAAGTTTAAACAGGGCAAGTGATGAAAACGCCAACATTTCCCTTTGTGAAGCTCAGAGCCTCTTTTTGTTGTGGGTCCCGGCAAACTTAATGTCCTCCCTCAGCTCCTGGAGACGCTATGGGCACCATGACTCTAGACACAAGAGGGACCGCTGCGATGCAGAAGGAAGCCACAGGCAACGCGCATGCCCAGCTCCGGGGCCCAGGGACTCCGTGGCTCCCCGTGCTCCCCCCTCCACGCCCCGCTGCTCTGGGGGCATCTCACCCCCTGGGAGTGCAGGTAGTCCATGGTCTTGGCGATGGTGCACAGCACGTCGTTGGCCTCGCGCTCCGAGAAGCACCTTTGCCGCAGGATGCGGTCCAGCAGTTCCCCACCGCGCATCAGCTCCATCACCAGGTACACGCACTTCCCGTCGTCGTAGACCTGGGGGCGAGACGGCGCATGCAGGCCTCAGTGGCCACGCGGTCACCCCAGCACTGCTCCTGGCAGAGGGGCAGCTCCAGAGAGGGCAGAAGCCAGGGCAGAGGCTGGGGTCTCCGCGCTCCCGGGAGTGAAAGCAAGGCTTCTGCAGAAAATGCGGGAACGGCCTGTCCTGTCACCCCAGACGTGGCTCTTAGGACAAAGCCGGACAAAGCCACCTTCAGTAACTTGCTGCTGCGCAGGCACTGAGTGGGTGAGGCCAGGAGCTCACAGCTGCACGAGGACATTTAGCTGAAAGGAAATCTGGCAGTGCGCCCCCACCCCCCACCCCGCAGGTTTTCAGAGACTGAAAATGTGGTCGCTGGCACACTACCGCGCAGCCGCAGTTCCGAGCAGAGTGCCTTTCAGATGCCCCGGGCACATAGCATCTTGGGGGATCGTGTTGACAGGCAGGTCCGGGGGAGGGGTGCAGCCTGACCCTGCGTCTCTGACAAGCTCCCGGGGCCTCTGAGCCGTGGTGCTGAGGACGACATGTGGAGCAGCCGGAACAGCCAGACCCCGGGTCCCAATGGGGATGGAGGGAGGTTCTGAGCCGCTAAGCACACTGGAGCAGTGCTTTCAGCTCAGAACAACAGAAAGCAGGAGCTTTTGTCCTGCTACCTTCCATCTCTCCAGCTTAAAACCAAACCCAAACAGAGCTCTGGCCCTTTTGGGGTCAGGCGGTGTGTGCACCAGTCACGCTGCATACGGCCCCGCACTAAGGAGAACTTGATGGAAGTGGAGGAAAACACCTAAATACAATTCCTTTCTAGCTTATAAATCAATGGATTTTCAGAACAAATTACTAAAATAATTTACCTGACTCTGGAGTCCATAAAAGATATAAAGTTAATTTGCTGCATTTATTTCTACTTCTGAGACTGTATGCATGATGACGTTTGTAATAAACATGGTTGGAAATGCTTAGGGGGTTTTCAAATTAGTTGATTCCTGTTTGTGGATCTCAACATAGAAATAAAAAATGACAGGGCCAGGGGGTTGGAGGTGAGGATGACCACTAGGAACAAACCCAAACTTTGTTGACATAGGTACTACAATAGTTTTGTGCTTTCCTCAGATGTGAAGTGGCATTTGGAAGTCCTCTAGCTCCAGGAATTTATGGGGCCTGAAGGGAAATCGAGGTGGCCCAGTGATTTGCCATTTTGGGTCCCTGATGGGGAGGAAGGAAACTCTCCCCTCTGGCCCCAAACACCATGGCCCTTAGGCCTTGGTGGGTTTCTGGGGGCACCTCCCCACGGGCTCGAATGGAGCCGGTTCCTGGCCCTTCTCTCCCAGGGACAAACACCATTAACGACCCACCAGGGAAGCTGTGAGGAGCCCCCACCAGAGCTGGTGCCTCAGGCCCTCCCCTCCCCATCTCATCCACTCCATACTCCCCATTTCTGTAACTGCAGGAATCTTTAGGAATGATGATGAAAAATAACGCTTCTGGATTAGCATTCACACCACTTATCTTTTCTTCTTTTATGTTATGTGGTTTGGGAGAACTGGGGGGACGTGAGCGAACGGTCCAGGGGTGCGAGTGGCAGAAGCTGGCTCCGGCACACGCCCTGGGGCTGTGAACGTGAGCCGTGCAGAGAGCTGGCTTTTTAATGCCAGGTGAACACAGAGCAGAAGCGACATGGCTGCCTGGAGACCACTTACGTCTTTGAGGGTGATGATGTTCGGGTGCTGGCCGTACCTCAGGAGAATCTCAATCTCTTCTGAGGGGTCTCGTTTACTCTTATCGATGACCTGGAACAGAGAGCACAGGGACCGTGAGGCTTTCGGGTGGGTCAGCCAGCTTAGGCCCTCCCTGTCTCCTTCTCCCCGCAGCTCACACTCGACTGAGATAATTGATGCCTGCCAAGCCATCCACGACAGTCATTTTCTCCCAGCTAGCAGAAGATGAGCATTTACCAAAGAAGAGCACGACCCTTCGGACACTAATTTAAAGATATTACAGGGTTGGATGAGAAGGGTGGGTTTGGGGAGCTCACGCAGGCCCCACCACATAACGGAAGGTGCTTTTCAACCCTGACAGGCTTTGGGTGGGTGCCCTGCGCCCTCTGCTCTGTCCAAAATGAGCCTCCAGGTGCTGTGTGTCTCGGGGTACACAGCAGCAGCAAAACGCGATCAGGTCACCGGGATGCAGGGCTGGCGTGCACGCTGCCCCTGGTGCTTAGATACAGACTCTGTCTTCTTTCTTTCTGTCCTCACCACCTCCCGTGTCAGATAGCACATACGAGCCTCACACCCGTGAACGCAGATAGCTTCCAAGGACAGGGTGTCATGAAGGAAAGCCCAGCCTGAAGCAGGGGGCATCGGTTGGCAGGTAATGGCTCATAGCTCCGCCCTCACTCCCACTTCTATGGGGATGGAGCTGGTGGGGGCGGGGAGCCCACTCATGCGGAACCTGCCGCAGGTGTGCTGGAGACAACACTCAGAATAGAAGCATAGTTTGTGCTGGTCTTGGCGTCAGTCCCACCTAATTTACAAAGATCCGCTATTTGGAGAACGTGCAATCATTTTACTACTAGAGTGTGAGGGGACTTTGCTCTTACCTCTCTTGTTAAACACTCTGAGCCGAGCTTTGCATAAAACTCAACCTCTTTTGTTTAGACAGACAAACAGCTGGGCAAGCCGCACTGTCAGTGCTCTGCCCCAGCCGCCCGTCCTCTCCTCCCCTCCCCTCACTGCTGGGAGACATCCCTGCCATGCCAGACCTCCTCTCCCCATCTCGGCTTGAAGCCCACCGCCAAGCCTGATGCCATGGCTGCCCCGGGACTGTGAGCCCCAGGACACATTGTTAAACAAACAGGAAGTTGGGCTCCATTTCCTGACACAGCGTTTTTCTCCTCTTGCCACATTTAATTCCACGACCATTCCAGTTGGGACTCCAGGGCCACTCTGTTATTGAAATGAGGCAACAGATGATGCACGGCTCTCAAGGGCACACGCGTGTAAGTCTCACTCAGTGTGGGAGGGGCTCCTTAGTACCTGATGCGCTCCGGCCGCTGGGCCAGGCGGTCTTCACACAGCTGGAACTGCTCAGCGGGGCGCTAGGACAGTCCGCCTCAACTACCTGCTGGGCTTTCTGAGCTTCCTGGGATGGGACCTTCTCTTTGCAATTCGAAAAGGTTAAAACTGTGGGTTAAAAAAAATTAGGAGGACCGGCCGAGTGGCGCATTGGTTAAGAGCTGGTTTGGGACGCCAGAGGGCCCCGGTTCGGATCCCACATATGAGGGCCAGTGACACTGCCCTCCACAGCTAAGATGCTGAACAACAGCTCAACCTGGAGCTGGGCTGCTGTGAGTCGCCGGCAACGGTGTAGGCTGCAGCCCCTGCTGCAGTGGGTTGCCATGGGCTACCATGTGTAGCCAGCAGCCAGCGTGAGCGGCCAGCAGCCGCAGTGAGCGGCCGTCCAGAAGCCGGCGACTGATCTGCCTCGCCCGGGAAGAGCACAATGATGGTGCCAACTTGGGCCAGTGAAGCGACATCCTCCACAACTAAACTGAAGAACAAAAAGACAGCAACTTGTCTGTTCCCCTTCCCCTAATTCCCCAGCGCTGTTCCCAACCCCCAAATTCCCCAATAAAAATCTTTAAAAAAAAATTAGTAGTAGATTAGTTTTTTTCAAATGAACTTCATAATAAAATAAACGTATTCGTTGCATAAATCTGTTTTACCACCCTCCCAATGGAACAGGGTGCAGGGTAAACAAGAGAAAGCCTTTACGGCTAGTGGACGGGGGAAGGGGTGCAGCTGCATGGAGAGGCCGTCCTACAGGAGCTGGGGGCCTCGCCGTCCTCGCACCCCGGGGGAAGGGGTGCAGCTGCATGGAGAGGCCGTCCTACAGGAGCTGGGGGCCTCGCCGTCCTCGCACCCCTCCCTCCCTGTGGGGGAGCTGACCAGAAGCACCATAATGCAGAGCCTAAACGCCGGCCTCCAGGTCTCCCAGCACAGGGAGGTGAGGTGGGTGTGCAGAGACATGCGACACCCAGCCTGGAAGGGAGGTCCCCCTTAGGTTCTCACAGCCGCCCTCCCCGCCTGCCTGCCACCCTCCCCCCACCTGCTCAGGGCCACGTCACACCTAAGCTGAGCTGGCACGGGCCCCGCTGCGCGTGTTTGTTCAGACCCCGTGTTTTGATCCTGTCGTCAGCAAGTGCTGGCTGCTTTTATCCACAAACGCTTTTCTGGGTTTGGTTTTGTTTTGTTTTGCAGGGATGAAGAGCTCTTTTTGGAAGGTAAGCACGATGAGTGCTAACAGAGGCTCTGAGCGGCGAGGCGCTGTCACTGGTCCCTGAGCGCAAAGCTGCAGCCTGTGCTGGCGACAGCAGAGCCCACACCGGGGTTTTGCGCATTTTCTCTATGGACTCGGTTTTGTGGACTTGCTAGCGTTAGATCCGCTTCTAGTTCAAGAAGCCTTAGTGAGATGAGTCCCTTATTTTGAGAATAATAGTGTTTTATAATCTTCCCGACACAACAAAGCTGAGGAAGGACTTCTCAGTCAGCACATTTACGGGCGAGGTGTCTGCTCAGCATTTCCATTGCTCAGGTGACAAGGACGGGCCACCAAGGAGTTGGGGGAACAGTCTCTCATTCTCATCTGGTAATGGCCAGAGAACGAGACACGGCCCAGAGGCCAGGCAGCCACCGTGGCTGGTAAGCGAGCCTTTCCCGGGGTTGCTCTGACAAGCGGCAGTTTCCTGAGCCATGTCAGGTCGGAATGCCTGTGACCCGTGGAGTCTGGCCTCGGTAGTGACGGCCCATGGCGATGTCCTTAGTAGAAACACATGGGCCATGTCACATACATTCCTGGTCCTGGTGGCTGAGGTGGGGACAGGCCTGGGTGGGACTTCACCACCACCAGCTGCCTTTCCTCTCCCTTCGGGTCCTTGTGTTCCCCCACCTGCCTCTTCTTCCTCATCTCTCTCCAGCCGGAGCCCCCTCCCAGGGCACGGAGTACCTGGGGAAATGGGCTCTGGGGTGGGGACTGACCAAGACGCAGGGTGGACTCCCTGGCGTGCAAAGCACCCTCGCGGGGCAGGTGACTTCCTCTGAGTGGTCAAAAGGCTCAATGTCACATTGGAGACGAGGGTAGCAGAACGTGTAATCAGTCCCTTGTAGGATTTAACAGGCACCTTCTCCCGCGTGATTAACTTTAACAAATGACACAGAGGAAGAACTCCACGTTTTCCTGCTGGGGAAAAATTAAATTTCCACACCAATCAGTTTTCCTTCTAAAAATAAGTGCTATTCGAATCAAGCATCTGTCTTAGTTCCACTGCTTTTTCGGTTGACAAATGACTGCACAGTATGGAAATGAGTGCAGAAACACCGCCGTTATTGTACACGAGCTGCTGTGAATGTAAATTGGGGCCCCCTCTCAGGAGAGGCTGACCTTGCCTCAGGCGTACGTGTGTCGACGGCACTCCATCCCTGGCATCAAGAACTGGGTGACACAGACGCTGGCCCAGCTATAAGGATCTCACTTTTCTTTTTTTCTTTTTTTTTTAAAAACCGGATTCTACTGCTAAAACAAACTGAGGCAATTTTAATAACATAACAACAACATGCTCCTGAAAAGCAGCGTGGCCGTTTCTGAAGGCGTGTGCTTCCCGCCAGGACAGCGTGGCCTGAGCTGACGCTGGGCTCCCGCCCTGCGTGGACCTTTCAGAAGGACAAAGGGGACGCTTACAGGTGGCACCTCAGTGAAGAGGCGCCTACGTCTGTAGGTGTGAAGGTAAGTGGTCGACGGGAAAAGCTACCAGGGCAGCAAAGCTCGCTTAGTTCCGGACCCTTCAGTGACGTCGCGCTTTTTGCTTCAACCTCTGGTTCTGTGATCAGTAAATCGCTAAAGGGCTGGGTGGTGGTGAGCTCCCCAAGGATAGGTTTGCCTTCCTGCCTAGAGATTAGCACCGTGTCTGCCGTAGAAAAGGCGTTCATCAGAAGCTGCGAAAATGAGTGAGAGCCTGGCTTGCGGAACACGGGCAAGTCTGCAGAACGAAGTGCTCTGTGGGACAACTGACTTGTCAGCCCGACAATACGAAGGCCAGAGAAAGGGGCGAGGTGGTGCAGAATGTGAAGGAAAGCTCCCGACTGATCACTCTTGTGCTTGATGCCACCGAGCACTGTTGCGGGGTGTGGGGACAGGGGCCAAGCTACGGAGAATGCCAGGGGTAACAGGGGCCATACAGAAAGGCACCGCAGGCTGAGGAGGATGGCGTGGCAGGACCGCAGTCACAGGTGGCGGAGGCCTGGACCAGGAGCAGACATCTGCAGAGATGAGGTGGTGCCCGGGCCTCAGGGAAAGTTTCGGGCACAGGAGGGCAAGCCCGGGGAGTCCAGGCGGGAGCTTCCTGTGCTGTGAGACCAGCTGGTGGGAGCTGCTGACCCCACGCCGGCCATGAGCCTCACGGCGGCCTGATCTCCATGGAGCTGAGAGTGGGCCTGCCCTCCTCTCAGAGGGACCTGCACTTGTACCTCCCTCTCTGTCACAGTGTCACAGCGTCACAGCGTGGGAGGCGCTGGTTCTTGGTCAGGTATCATCTTGCTACCAGAATATTGAGCCGGAGCTTAACAGAGAAGGACAGCCCCACCCTGTCTCCCAGTCTCCCAAACACCAGCTGGGAGTTACCTGCCTGAACTACCCCCACCCCCAGGAGGCTCCCAAGAGCGACTCCCACCTTGTGACCAGAATGCCTGCAGACACTGCCAGTGTCCCCAGCGGCAAAATCCCCTCCCCCACACCATGACTGCCCTGGGCCACAGCCCTGTATTCTAGCCACTGCCCAGCTGCTCAGCCAAGCTTGCAGGTTCTCTTTCCTGCTCCTTACTTGTTACTCGGTGGGGATGGTTATGAGTCACCCACGTAGCCGGGTGAGGGGGCCCTGACTGGCTGGGACTGGACTGCTTCTCAGCATGACACAGACACCCTTTCCCCGCAAGGAACCTGGACTGCTGAGTTTGCACACTGCTCAGGCGGTCACTGAGAGAGGTGGTGCTAAATTCTAGCGATGGAGTCAGAGGCCTGGCTCCCAGGCCACACTTGGGCTTCTGCGTTACGTAGAAAACACACTTAATTCTTCTGTGCCTTAGTCTCTCTGTCAATGAGTGGGGGCACTGCTATTCATCAACAAGTTGGCTGATGCAGAAAGAGCCGCCGAAAACCTGAATTCCATTCTCCCTGGGACATGCGGAAGGCAGGAGT